GAAGGAATAGCATGCCTCTGTAACACTTTTGCATATCTTTGTCCTGTTACAGATTCGCGAAGAGGAACAAGAGGTCCTAGCCTATACACGAAAAGCATTCCCAAAACATTCGACTGGGACTGTGCTTTACTGTAGTAGTTAAATAAGAAGGATCAAATTCTTCTTCTGGTGTACGCCACACACGTAAGCTACAACCTTGTGAAAATTGGCTAAATGTTGATTCATCAGACCATACAACTTTCTTCCATTTTGCAATTGTCAAATCTTCTCGTTCCAATGCCTAAGACAATATTTTTTCTTTATTATTTTCAGAAATTAATGGTTTAGAGCGGCAACACACGAACGTAAGCTGACTTTTTTAAGAGTCCGACAAATTGTAACAGTTGAAACTTTCTTTTTTTTTTAGTCCATAATTCTTGAATTTTTTGAGTGGTAAGGCGACGATGCTTTGAATTTTGTGTAACAATCTTTTTGAGTAAAGATTGTGCATTTGAATTAAAAAGTGGCTTCGGACCACAACGTTTTTTTGGTATTACAGAACCAGTTTCTTTAAAACATTTTATCGCATCATGGACAGTTGTTTTATCACATTGTACAATGTCAGCAATTTTTTGATATGAATCATCTCGTTTGTGGCTGTAAAGAATTGCCCCATATTGTTTAGCATTCAATTCTTTTGTTTTAACCATTTTTGTTTGAAAGAAATTATTTGTTATTATTGTGATCGACATCTATTTATATTCTAAACAAATGCTTAAATTAGAAATATATGTAAACATGTAAACAAAGTGAATAAACAAAAAAATATTTATCATTTGGGTACCCGTGATCACCCTCTGTATATAAATTAATGAGTAAAAAAGCATTGAGACCTGAGATAGTATTCGATATTAAAGAAATTTAACAAAATATAGACTACTCTTAGGCAAAGCTAGTAGCATCAAGACCAGAGATAGCATTCTTTATATTGTTAAAGTTTTTTAAAAGAATACAGTTACTTAAGGTCTAGTTTTTAAAATAAATTTGCATAAAAAAAAAGGTTAAATTTTAATTTTTTTCTTTTATATTTAGTTTCTTTTTTTTCACTAGCAATATATATTGTTAAAGTTAAAGATACCGATCCTGTTAAATATCAGCAATTTTTAACTTTTCCAATAAGAAATATAGTTTCCTTGGTTTAAGAATATAAGTTAACTGTTGAAACAGTCATGAAGAAATCTTAATTGAACCAGTATATATTTTTCTTTTTTTAAGTTATGTTTTTTACAAGCAATTATTTTTAATATAGTAAACTTAATTTTTAAAGGAAAAGTTATAGAAACAGTTTTCCTTTTATTTGGCAAAACAAGCGACAGAAATTTTGCATTTAAATATTTATGAAGATATTAAGAAAACAAAAAATAAAATAAGATATCGTAAAAAAAATATTGTAAGTTTGATTTTTATAAAAATTTTCAGCTAAAAATATTTAATATTTAAAAATTAATTATTAATACTTCTCTTTTTTATATATTTTTCTTCTAAGGCTAGAAACAGTTATTTTACAATATCTCGATCACTTAGTTCTTCTGAAATTTCTACAATTTATCTTTCACTATTGAAAGATTATGTTCAAGGTTATAAATCTTCAAAACATACCTGGCTATATGAAGGAAATATTGAATTTACTTTACCAAATTTGATAAATATTAAAAAGGCAGTGAATCTTCTACCAAATTGTATTAAAAAAGATCAAGAAGTTATAATAAGAGATTCAGAAACAAACCAATTGATAGCTGTAATATTAAGAAATCATGTTGGTAAAGAAGTTCTAAAATATATGTATGAAATAGCAATAGAAACTTCTAAGATTAGACGAAAAGTTTATTGTGATTATCAGACAGTAGCACTTCAGCAAGGACCTTTATTTGCAGCTAGCTATCTTTGTATCTGACAATGTGGCATTTTTACCCATGTTTGTAATATAGGTGAAAAATTAAGGAATACATCTGAATACTTAGAAAATGAAGCAAAAATTGTAGCTAGTGTGGCCTTTTTATATAATTATGCTTTAAAGTATTTTTCTGTCGATGTAGTTAGTAAAATTGAACATTTTTTCAGTACTTATGATTTACCTCGTTTAAATGGAAATATTTATGGTAATGAAGAAAAAAAGTGTGGATTTAAAATAAATTACAAAAATACAGAAATTTAACTACCTTACCAGTTAGGCTTATGTGAAGCTTATATTGCAATTAATTATACTAAGCATGTATATATAGATAAAATTTTTCTGAAATATGCTTGGGCTTGTATTTGTGGTAGAGGTTTACTTCAAAATAATAATAATATTAGTAGCAGTATTAGCAGCAATAACAATACTAGCAATGGTACTAGCAGCAGTTTTTCCTTTTTCTCTTCTATTTTAACTGATTCTTCAATTTATATACCTGGCAATTTTGAAGGTGGCAGTTTTTTTTATTGAAATATGAAATTATTATTGAAATGTCTGAAAATACATTATTCTGTTTTCCAGAACATGAAGAACATGGTACAATAATAATCCCTTCAGGTACTTTTCAAGTTGGTATATCACAAAACATCTCTAAAAAAACAGTAACAGTAGCAAAAAAATGGAAAGAAGGCAGAGAAATTAAATTTCATAAGCAATATCGTTTAAATCAACTTAAACAGGAACCTGAAATATTACAAAATTTTCTTGTAGCTGAAAAAAAAAACAATACAAATAATAATATAAATACTTGTAATAGCATTTTTTTTTACCAATAGTAGTATTTCTTCTATAAATAACACTACTAGCAGTATATTTTTAACAGATAAAAATATTAATAGCACTTCTCTTACCAATAAAATTAATACTAGCAGTAGCAACCTTTTTATATCAAATAGTAATAATAGCATTGAAAGTGAAAATGAATGTGAATATGAAAGTGACAAAAAATTAGATTTTACTGGAGAAATTGTTAAACTCCATTATAAAAGATTTATTTTAAATAATAAATATATATTTTACATTTTTATATTTTACATTTCAATTTTCTATATTTATCTTTTAAAATCTTATAAATTAATTTTTACTATTTTTGGATTAATTTAAATTTTAACAGTATAATTATTTTAAACTTTTAATGTCTATTTAGGTGATCAGCCATTTTATCAAATCATCTATTTTATTAGATCTGATCTAATAATTACCATATTAATTAATTTATACATTTAGTTTATTTAATTTCTTTTGTTTAACTTTTACTAATACTTCTATAAAAAAAAATTATAAAAATAGTATATTGTGACTGTAGTAAATGTAAAAAAAAAAAGTGCTAAAACAGGAGATGGGAAAGGACTTAATGTATTTTTAAGAACATTTCGATGACATAATATATTAAAAAATCAAAAAATAATTTTTGATAATACAGAAAGTTCAGATAATTCGGATAATTCTGATGATTTAGAAAAAAGTATAAAAGAAAATAACTCTTCTAATATAATGTATGTAAATTATTTTATTTATATTTTATTATATTATATTATATTATATTAAAATATTTTTTACTCCTATTTTTTTAAAGGAATACTTCTAAAAATGATGAGATATTTTTTAATGAAATGGATTATAAATTTACTTGTGAA